TCGCTTCGGGAGAGGACTGTGTCTAACCCAGCTGACGGTCTCACATCACAGAACTCTCCTTAGCACGGATTCTGAGAAGGGTGGGGAGGAGGAAGGAGCCTAAGTCTTGGAGTCCTAAGAGCTATGCTACTGCCCACAGGTGTGGAGAGGCTGTGAGATGCCACACAGGCCCTGCGGAGGCTCGCTGGGTGGCCCCACTCCTGATGGGCCTCAGACCCTGTCTCTGCCTAACCCGAGGCCTCACCTGCGCAAGGGGAACCACCTCTGAGGATCGTTAGAGGATCGAGTGCGATGATGTATGGAGGACACGGGCCTGGTGTAGCTGTGACTGCACAAGTCACTTAACTTCCGACCTCATTTCCTTTGAAAGAGTGAAGACGATGACCTGGGCCTTTCAGGGTAATTGAGGGGGTACAATGGGATAATGTGTGCGATTGTGTTATATAAACACACTGAGTTTCATCAGAGAAGACCTTCACAAGGATCTTGGTCACTCGTTCAGTTTCAGCACTCACACATGCATTCTGACGTGGGAAGAGTTTTCCCTCCCTCCGTTTTGTCCTTTTCATCTTCATTGACCTGAGATTGAGTGTTGATGTTCTTGTTTCCCATGCGCTGAAAGATATAATCCATTCACTCCCAAGCCTTTAGGTTTTTTTAGAAAACGATCTTGTTTATTACTGGCATCACTTTCTTATATGTCATTCTTTGTTATTTTATTCTGAACCCTAACTTTGCTTATGGTGCCCAGAGTAGGAAATAATCTTTGACAGTTTCTTAGGCTGTAGGGGAACGATTACTTTCTGTCCCTCATTCCCCATTCAAAAAAAGTATATCTTTATTATAAGAGTAATGCCATCACTTTATATACATTTTAGATGGAAGGAAGAAAGAAGAAAAATTGCCCACAATCCCATTGGGACAACTATTGGTAGTTTATGACTGTGAACCTTCACTTTTCTATAAATATTTTACGTATCTTTACGTACATACCTTCCATAACCACAGTCATATACAGTATGGATCTTGCTTCTCTTCCTCGGCCGATGTTTTCTCCGTGGCTGCATGTCTTTGGTGCCCGTCTCGCGGATTGTGAGGGTCTCGGCTCTCAGTGTTCAGCGTGGTGTCTGACAGATGTGAGTGTCAATGAATGGGAGCGTCGGCCATGACTCACCCGGAGTTTGTATCATTTCCTATCGAGGCCCAGACATGGGTTTCCCGGGTCAGGTGCTCATCAGGCTTTTAAGACAGGCACTTGCCACATGGCTTCTGAAAAGGGCCGTTTCCGCTCACAAAGCCCTTGGCACGCCTCTCGGCCTCCCCGTCCTCCAGGTCCCCTCCCACCCTTTGTCTTCAGCTTTGGTAAGCAAGCTTAGCAGGTCAAGTTGTTACCGCGTTATTTTAAGTGTCATTATTTAAAAGACTACCAGTGTTGAACTTTTTCGTTGAGTGTTTCCTAGCAATGGTTTCTTCTCGTGGGGTCTCTTTGTGACCTATTTAACAGTTGGAACCACTTAAAACGTTCTTATTGAATTACATGGGCCCTTAAATAAAGATATTAGTCCTTTGTCACAGGAACTGCAAGTGTTTTTCCTCACTTAGTCTTGTTTTGGCTATGTGTTTTTTTAAAATTCTCTCTCTCTCTCTCTCTCTCTCTCTCTCTCTCTCTCTCTCTCTCACACACACACACACACACACTGAGCTGTCTCCTGTCTGAGGCTGTCACAGACACCGCTTACCATCCAGGCTAGTTCTGACGGTAGCACCCCGAGCCCAGCAGGAGAGACTCCCCAGCCTCCTGGGCTCCTAGCAGAGTGGACACGTGTCCGGCACGGGAAATGGGATGTGCTTACCACCCCGAAGTGCCGTGTGAAGGACACGGGCTCTTCACAGACCAGGGAATGTGTTTCCCTTGACTTCGGGAAGTAGAGTGGACAGGAAGGAGCTGAGAGAACTATTGCTTTGGTTTGATGACAGGCCATATTTCAGCTCTTCACAGCTGGGATCCTCCAGCTCTCCTTCCTTTCCTCTAGGACCCATGCTTCTGAAGAGGTCCTGGCAGCTACTCATTTGGCATCTCAAGGCCTCAGCCAGGCGCTCTGGGCTCCCGTGCTCCCCCACCCCCCGCCCAGCTTTTCCAGATGGTTTTCTGGCAAAGAGACACTAGGTCCCGAGGAGGTTTGCGGATTAAGAAATGCTGATAACCTCACCTTCTCCTCTCAACGTCTTCCCCTGCAAGAGGGTGCGATCCTGCCTGTTCACCTCGGGCAGCCTTGCATGGGCCTCCTTAGCCAAGTTCGTCTATGTGACGTGCTAGCCAACAGCCTCGGGGGTGACGGAAGACGGGGAGGCCACCGAGTCTGAATTTTACAATAGAAGCCTCGCCTTGCTGTTCTTCCGGAGGAAGTACGTTGCGTTTCTTCTCAGGCTGAGGAGTTGGAGCGGCCAGGTGGCTTTGGCAGCCCCTCAGTAAGGATGCCAGACACAGGGGTTAGACCAGGGGGAAGCTAACTAGTGCCTGGTTGCACTAGTACAATAGAGCACTTATGCCCAGCTGGTGTGGCTCAGTGGTTTAGCACTGACCCACGCACCAAGAGGTTGCTGGTTCTATTCCCAGTCGGGACGCATGCCCTGGTTTCAGGCTCAATCCCTGGTGGTGGTGGTGGTGGTGTGGAAGGCAGCTAGTCGATGTTTCTCATATTTCTACCTCTCCCTCTCCCTCCTTCCCTCTTTAAAATCAATAAAAACATTAAAAAAGAGAGAGAGAGCACTGACAACTGAAGGGAGATCCTCAGAGTCATTCCAGACTGTTTGCAAGTCCCTTTCATTTTTTTAAAAAAAAAATATTGATTTTTTTTTTTTTTACAGTGAGGAAGGGAGAGGGATAGAGAGTTAGAGACATCGATGAGAGAGAAACACCGATCAGCTGCCTCCTGCACACCCCCTACCAGGGATGTGCCTGCAACCAAGGTACATATCCTTGACCAGAATCGAACCTGGGACCCTTCAGTCCGCAGGCCGACGCTCTATCCACTGAACTACACTGGTCAGGGCAGTCCCTTTCATTTTGGCCTTTAATTGCCCTTTGTTCTTGACGTCCTTCCTGCCCAGGAGTCCTATCCTTTTTCCTCATCGGGGTCTGCGTGCAAGTCTGTGACGGAGCCCACGAGGGAGAAGGACCTACCCTGGGCTTTCTCATCATCGTGGCCAGGATGAAGGCACACGAAGACATTACATGGACTTCCGGGTCTAGATCTATAAATATATTTATTATAATATAACAAGAACTTAACGATAAACATATACTATGTACAATACCATTACAGAGAACCCTGTTTGTATCATTCACAGAAATCGCCAGTTTTGCTCCAGTGTGATCAGTGAGGAGAGAAACGGAATTTCAGTGCCACCTGTGTTGAGTCCTGCTGACCGCTAACACCTCCTTTGGAGGCAGACGCACACCAATGCTAACATTAGCCCTGCCCCGGGCAGTTAGAAATTTGTGCTCCAGTCCTTGGGTTCACACTTGCACCCTGTTTGACATAAATACTGTAAATGACATACAACGTATGTAGTTTTGTGCTTATTACTTTTTAAAAGAATAAATAATATTAAAAACTGCATCACGAAGCTCGGTGTCTCGTCCGAGTGGGAGCCACACCTGTCCGTGCGAGCATGAGCGCTCGGTCGTCCTCGCGGAGAGACGGGAAGCGTGGCCTGGCCGTTGCTCCTTACCAGTGGCTTTTTATTATTTTATTTTATTTTTTTAAATCATGAAATGCAAGTTGACTTCCCAGATATAAAAATGGTAAATGTGTATTTGGTACCAACGTCAACTAAACAGCGCAGCGGCGGCGGCGTTCTTCCTGCCCTGGCGTGGACACTGACTACCGCGTGAGGTGTGCGGGTCTGAGGACGGCCTTGGCGGGAAGGCCTTTCTCCTTTGAGCCATGGGTGGCCGCCCTCCTGGCTTCCCTGTCTCGGGTTAATAAGCTGCTAGAAGATTCTGCCCATGCCCCAGGCCTCGGTTGTCATGGCTCGTCTACGCAGGCTGCCCCACCCTGAGCGCGTGGTGGCAGGTGCCGTGCTATAGAGCTACGAATATAAGTATCAAAAATAGTCCCCCGTGCTTTGTGGACACGTCCTCCCGTCCTCCGCCCCGGGGCCTCAGCCTTCCCCCAGGAGGGAGCTGGTCGTTTCCTGCTAGAACAGCCTCTTTATTGGATGATCTCCCAGGAGGCACAGCTCGTAGGGGGCTGTCCGGGAGTTACTTTCTCTAAAAATAAAACGGGTGCCTCTGTGCCACCCAGGCGAGCTCCTCTCTTCTGCACGTAGAAAAACTAGAGCCCGTGCCACCCTGGCACAATCTCCTCAGAGCTCCGGGGCTCCCGCCTGCTCCCCGGCCTGGCCGCCTCCTCTCCGTACTTAAAAATAGCCTTTTGTTTATCAAGAAAACGCCTTGGAAATCTAAATACTTCATATTGGATAAGAGAAAGCTAGCACGATCATCTGGCCCTTCTGCAGCAAAAACATGGTAGAAGAACCTGGGAAGGACAGCCGCTCTCCCAACGGTCCCTACGGCTGCCCCTGCGGCGGCTCCAGCCACGGCGGGCCCTGCGCTGCGATCCCGCCCGTCTGCTCTCGGCCACTGGGAGTGTAGGCTGGTTAAAAACAAAATAGGAATCAAAGTGATAAGGACACTTTGATCTTATCCCAAGGGAGCCTGACGCCTACGATTGTTACAGGATAACTGGTCTGTGGTGGTCTAGGGGTCCGGTTTGCTCTGCAGGAAGGAAAAGCAGCTGCTCTCTCCCAGTTGAAAAATATGTGAGACTCTATTGCACCGGGCAGAGCGAGCGCCTCCGTCAGAGCAAGTCCTTCCGCAGAGCCCGAGGCCGCCTGGAAGGTGGGTCCCTGTGCCCCGAGCCAAGCCCGGGTCCCCAACAGGCAAGGACGAC